TGATTATATAATATATTTAGTAGTGTTACTGAAATTCATTGGTTAAATTTAGAAATGGCTGATATATATGATTAGTATTTTTGCACAAGTGAATATAACAAATCCTACAAGTTGATTGGTCAAATTTTACGTATTAAGCTGTTATATTCACCTACATGTGAATATAACAAAAGTGAAATTTGGAAAATGGCGGCTAGCCGTTTTGTGGAAGTGACTGGTTATTAAATAATAAATAATGGAAAATAAAATAAATCCAGTCTCCCCAAAAATGCAAAAGACTTGTGTAAAAATACTAAAACAATTATTCACCTCAGGCTTGGTGATTATCGGGAATATTCACCTTGACTTTGTCTTGGTGAATATTCCCCAATAATCACTGAGCCTTTGGCGAATAAGTGTTAAATATTGTTGGGTTTCATTTTAGGATCATGTGATTGCATTAATTACATACCATTGTCAAATAGAAATCATTTTGCCTTACACTATAGTCCAGCCAGCCATTTCTCCCATTTCTATATCCATCATTCCATCTCCAGGTTTTGTATTCTCAGGGGTTGGGTTAGGTCTGTGATTGCAGCAACCTCAACTTTAATTAATTATGACCCATAATGTATGTTTTTGTATAGATACTCGACGATATATACAATCGCTTCCGACACTTGCTTGAAGAGCTTAACCAGAACTGGATTGATCCACAGCTGTTTTCTGATGTCATCCATGCTGTTGGAGGTCCGCTACAAAATTGTTGGGGGTTCATTGATGGAACCTTGTGACCATGCTGCAGACCTGTTCACAATCAGAGAATTCTGTTCATACATGGTCTAAAATTTCAGGTGTGTTTACAATTCTAAGGAAGAAGAACTGTTCCTTTACCATTAAGTCATAATGCACTCAACTGCACCCTACTTTATTGTTTTACTCTGTCTAGTTTTGCACTTTAATAGATAACTTCAAATTTTTTTTACTTGACATAAATTTCTCTTTAGAGTGTTGTTTGCCCTAATGGACTAATTGCTAACTTGTATGGCCCTGTAGCAGGAAAACATCATGATGCCTTTATGCTCCATGAAAGTAATTTACTGCAGAAGCTAGAAGAGAAATTTAGACCACCCCACGTATTTGCCTTGTATGGGGATCCAGCTTACCCTCTCCGCATGCATATACTTGCACCATACAGAGGAGTAGTAGTTACAAGAGACCAGCAATTGTTCAACAAGAGAATGAGTAAAGTGCGTGTGTCAGTCGAATGGGCATTTGGCAAAGTGGTGCAATACTTTGCATTTCTTGATTTTAGGAAGAATCTTAAAGTGCTTCTACAGCCAATTGGAAAGTACTATGCTGTTGGTGTAATTCTAGCCAACTGTCATACTTGTCTTTATGGCAGTACAACATCAAGCTTTTTTAATCTCCCTCCCCCTGATCTTCAGACATATTTACATAACTAGAGTTATGTATGTTTAGACAATATGATCTGTGCAAGTAGAAAGATCAAGAATTTCAGACTTCCAGTTCAAATTTAAGTGAGCCCTCCTTAAGGAGGTATGCAAAGTATAAGGCATCGGATAGCATGCAGATGCTACAGATGGTTGAATATGGTATTTATCCTCACATGGCAGTTATCATTATAACTAACCCTAAAACTAGTAACCATTTATTGAATACACAAGCTTAATGCTATATAAAGCTACCTGTGGCACCTGTAGCCCTCTGTTACACCTGCTAACAGAGTCCTCTGTTACACCTGCTAACAGATGCATGTATTGGACATGTATGTCTTTAAGACCATTGTTAAACATGTCACTTTTCTCTTGAATTTAAACTGGAAGTCTGCAATTCGTGATATTATATTTTTCAAAGTGAATCAACTCAAATGTATGTAACACTTATGCAGTATGGGAGTAACAAAATGATGAGAAATTGTATGTGTTTGCCACCAAACACAAGGCCGATACATCTGGCAAACAATAAACTCACTCCAATAACTGTGTCTTGTGTTAGAGTTGACCCCCAGTTGTCGCTGTGACGTCATATGAAATGCAATAATAATTAAATAGTAGTGTATATAATAAATATAATTTTATTAAAAAATAAATAACTCATTTTATGGAACATTTACATATCATTGTTAAAGTATTTATAACAGTATGTTTATTCAGAAATTACTTTGTTTTAAAAACAAATCAACTATATACAATAATAACAATAAATAACAACAAAATAAAAATTTAATTAGTGCTTTGAGAAATTACTGGTACCTACAAATGACCTCATCATTTCAAATTGCATTTCAATTTGTTTTGCTTGAAGGTCAAGTCGCTTTTGCTCCAATACCATTGCATCTTCCTTTAATTTGTTTTCAACTTCAAGAGCCTTATTCTTGTATTCTAGCTCCTTCTGTCGCAGAGCAACATTGGATGAATTTTTTTCTGAGAGATATGACATGAAATCTGACTTGTTTGTGCGCTTCTTTCTTTTACCTATGGTTAACATTACATGTGAATTAAATATTTATGTAATTCTATCGCAACGACATCATCACTTGCTGTATGAGTGAATTGTAATCTACATGTTTAATAAATGCAGGTAGGGTGCTGTATTATTGATGATGTGTACCAAGACTGTAACATATAGGAGATAACTTACTTTTCTTATTTTGGACAGCTATAGTAAGTTCTTCATCTTCATCAGTTTCTTCATCTGAATCTCTGGCCCTTGAATTTTCTGTACAAAATTTAGTATTAATTGTAATACAAGTGCTCATCACTGTCATCACACCATTCATAAAGGTCCTTTATTAGTCCCTCTTTTGATCTGGCGTTTCATATGAAATGTAAATATGCTAAATTCTACAAGACTAAAATACACTGTACACCTGGTAATCTCTCCATAAGCACCCTCACTCGACCTCGACCCCTCCAACTATAATAAGTTCTCTCCCCTTTTAGACAAAATTATTAAGCCCTCCTCTCTAATAACCTCCTCCCCTCCAAAGGGCCTGGAAAAAGTAAGAACAGATTATGGTATTCTAATTCTGGTGTTTGTTCAGTTGCACCACCACCTCTATCCCCTGCATTAATCCCTACTATTAACTTACTTTCTCTCATAGCAACCATTGCATCATCTCTAAACTGTTCGGCATTATTTCTATCCAGTTCTTCTTGTAACCGTTTTCTCGCCTTAGTTGCTGTCTTTTTATTCTGCATGTCAGTGATATATGCAGATGCATCATCCAGGAGTTGCTGCAATTCCCCATATTGCTCCTCAGTGCCCGACCTGTGATATAAAAACAAGATATGAATGGAAAAGACTCCCTACCCTTCTCATTCTAGATCAATTCATGAGTAACTGGTAAAGGGCTTCTCGAATGCAATGTTTTTTACCCTTGTAGCTATTACTTCCCTTAATCCATAAGATACATAAAATTAATAAGGGCCATTCCAGTCATTTTCAGACTTCGGCCGAACTGCTACCACTTCTCGCAGCAGGTCCACATCATGGTGAGCATGCCATCTGAACATGGTCTTCAAAACAATTTAAAAAGCAGGCTCTTTAACATGTTGTTTATTTGTTCAAATATAAATGTTTATCTTAGCCATTTCAATGCAATACTGGTAGCTACTATCTGTAATATTTCACTACTTATTTACTAGGTTTTTTTTGTAACTTGTTTTAAGTTCTCTGGTTCAGTAAAACAGGAATAAAGATTGAAGAATTAAGATATACTTTTTGCGACTACGAACCGTCTATGATTGAACTATGGCGTTCATTACTTATATTAAAATACAATATTTACGAACCACACAAAGTCATTCAAAATAGCTATCTTGTAGTATGCTACTCCTTAAATAAATTTTACGTGTGATGAAAATACTTACACGCTTTTCCATTCCTCGAACAATTCTTCACTGGCCTTCACTTTCTTGTCTGAAATTTACCCGTTTGTCGTTTACGTGTAGACCATGGTTTACCGCGGGAAAACGGGTAGAAATTACGGGTAAAAATGCTGACATCAGCAAAAATTGGTAAACAAAATGGCGATACTCGTACCCGTAAACCGGAACCGGGGTATCTTAACCTCTCTATTGCCTTTAGGCCTTTGCGCTGATTGAAATCTGTGACATGCAGAGATCATGCGTATTAGGTTGATGGCATTCTTGTCTTATATATAATTGTTTTGTGTCCCACATCCATCATCTCATTGTTGGTTGTATATATACTTTTCGGATGAAAAGCTCACTATCAGCTACACTGCGCTGACGAGCCCCAAAAGGACGAAACAGCTGTCCGCAGTTGCTGGTAGCGAGCTTTTGGCACAATTGTCATTGCCTTTAGGCCTTTGCGCTGATTAAAATCTGTGACATGCAGAGGTAATGCTTATTAGGTTGATGCCTGGCATTCATATATATATATATATATATATATATATATATATATATATATATATATATATATATATATATATATATATATATATATATATATAAACTATTACAAAGCAACGGACAGTATACTTGCTTCAGCGACCTAGACGGCATACGATAAAGAGGAAACAACATAAATGGCTCCATGCAACGTAAAGCAAATTTACAAAATTTAATAACAAATAAATTTCTGCTATATGGTACAGATAGCTTCTTCAGTAAGGAGCCATGGTGCCACGGTGCCATGTATAGCCCCAAGTTAGTTATTATTAAATTTTGTAACTGATTTACTTTCCGTTGCAGCCATTTATGTTGTTTCCTACATGCTTTTTAATCTATTGACGCAATAATGAGCGTACTACGTATTGAGTTATATTTATGCAAATTTTGAAGTTTACAATTACGGAATACACAACAACAAGACCAATTTTCGTGCGAATCTATTATACCAAGCGTTAAAACAATAAGAGCTCGCTATTCTACGGTTGTCGTAGAGTATAGCGGCAGTCGATAGGGAACAGTAATTTCAACGATTGTTTCGTTTCTTAATGAGGCTATATTCGTTCGGTTACGTCCTTCGGTACATGTTAACTCATTCAACCATATTCATATTTCGTAGACGTTAGTCAGGTTCGAAAGAAAGATCATTGGAAAACTATAAATTAAAACATGAACCACTTTGTATTAGCGATTTTGAGATTTTAGCGAAGGAACGTTTACCAAATGGCGAATTCAGTTATTATGCATCGGCGGCGAATGACACGCAGACACTTGGCGAATCAACTGCGGCTTTTAAAAGGTAAGATCTTTAAGAAAGTCTGAATTAGGTCGAATTGGCTACAAATGTTCGCTTGTATTTCCTGGCAATCTATACGACTACAACTAAACGCGTAACTTTATCATGCAACTATAAACGAATAACTAGTATTCATAGTTTGATCTTGTGTATCTTATGAGATAAAACACACTGCGAATATTGACAACTTGTAAACTCAAGATATGAGCTATTTAAAACTCCTTCTCGACACATCCCATGCAATTAGAGTATTATCGGATTCACTTGTTTCTAGTAGTTCGCATGCACAACTCAACGAAAACGAACGTATAGCCTCATTAACACACGATCTATTCGTCGAAACGCATAGCAACTGGCTTAGAGGCAGCACATCAAGAATTTTTATCCGATATTAAACGAATATTAGTTACATAATCACATACCGTTCCACGAGCTAATTCTCATTGGCTGAGACAGCATATCGTGACTTTTCGTCTGGTGTTATACACAGCGAACGGACTTATGCGCATGGACAATGCAATTGTCAATATTTTAGAAAGGACCCATGTTAAACTCCAAAACAAATGTTCATGCACATTGTTGTAATTCGTTGAAAAAGCCGGACCATTAAACTCACAAAGTTTATAAAGTTAGGAAACAGAACTCTCTCAATACCATCACAGTTAATAGAATACATAGTTTGGAGACTCGATGAAAGTAGAATATAACTCATTAACTATGTTGCTTTCGGTTTATGCAAGAATTTGGGCCTATCTCGATCGTCACGTGTGTATTGTATTTTTTCCCCCAAAACCAATAGCAATGTTTAAATTGAGCATTTGTTCAAGTTACGGATGGATAACTCAACCACAAACTTGTTATTGGTTATTTGAGCGAAAATACAATATACACAGGGACGCCGGAACTTGGGGGGCAGGGGGGGGGGGCGGCTGCCCCCCTTGCCTTTTGCTAGGGGGGCAGGGGGGGGCAGAAGTGCCCTTTTAGTTGTAAAATACTACGTGATAAATCACATTTACAACGATGCTTTTTGTACGAAAATTATGTGATTCAGACAATTTATAGTTAATATTTCACTTTTGGTATGTCCGGAAAAAATTTTTGACCCCTAAAATGGTACACTGACCGAAATTTTTTTTTTGGGGGGGGGAGGTCGCCGAAAATTTTCGAGTTAAAAAAAATTTCCGGAAGATTTTGAAGTTTTGCTTTATAGAGGTGCCCTTGGTGTGGGTCCGCCCCCCTTTGCCTTATGATCGTTCCGGCGTCCCTGAATACACACGTGACGAGATAGCACCAAATTCTTGCATAAAGCTGGACAATAACATGTGTAGACATAGTTAATGAGTTGTATTGTACTTTACGAGTCTCCAAACCATCTATTAAAATAATAATTGTGATAGCATAGATATCTTATATAGACTATAGGGTAGCGTTTACACTGTACCGTTTTCGTAGCGTTCTCGTATTGTTCGAAAGAACTATATTAAATTCCAGCGGTTACCTCCATTTGAATACATGGGGGCCATGTTGGTGTTTCCCACTCGCTAATAAACGCTTAAAAATTAGAAAACAACAATAACTTTCATCATTTGAATAGTTTAAAAATGTATTTGGAATAGGTTTACCTTAATATTTAAGTTCCGTGGTTTTTCTGGAAAAATTTTGATAATTAAGGAAAAATTTAGGGTATTTTTTGAAAATTTAGGTATAAGGGGAAAAATTTGGTATATTTTGTTGCTGCCGCAGCAAGCGAGCCTGAAGCGAGCGAGCAAGGCAGCAGATCGTAATTTTGTTTTGTGGGTCGATATCAAAATTTTCTATTTGCCGCATTGCATGACGGTACCAGTGAATTTTAACCGTGGTGCAGCGCGGTCAAGCATAAGGCAAACAGGCAATGTGATCATCTTTCATCTTTGGTCTTCTTTTATGGATCAAACGGCATTTTGCTCTGGCTTAAAGTGATCAAACGGCATTTTGTTGGGTGCTTTTAGCATTATACGGCGGTGCTTTCGGCATTATACACGGTGCTTTCGCCATTATACGCGGTGGTTCCCGCATTATACGCTGTGGTTCCAGCATTATACGCGGTGCTTTCACCATTTATGTATGCTGTGCTTTTGCAATTATACGCAGTGGTTCGAGCACTATATGCGGTGCTTTTAACATTATACGCGATGCTAGCTTTCATTCAACATTATTTTCATATTCTTTCCATGACATGTATATGATTTAACGATTGCTTAAATTTGGTATGTGGTTGACGAATGCTTTTTGCCTATGGTCTGCAAAGACAATGACATGCTTTTCTGTGTATATAAGTGAATATAATGCGCGAATCAAGTCGAAACCTTGACATCCCCCCCGGGCATACCCCCGGGTATTTGGATTTTGACGTTTTGGTCAGGTCAAATTCCCTACATATATTTGTAATTCCCGTTCAAATACACCACGTATTGGGAAAAATTGGAGTTCAAATACCCCACCCCATGTACGAATTGGAAGCTACAGCATTTCGCAATTTTGGAATTTCAAAGTTTTTCTTTCCTTCAAAAACTCTCTTCAATCGTTCAAAGCCGTTTTCTTGTAGCCAACCAAGGACAAAGTTAATTCCTTTGCACTTGAAGACCTTGAACTCATCCATTAATTATTGACGCCATTTTGGATTCTGCACACGTGTTTAAAAGAAAAATTCAAATTCCCGACCTCCTTCAAATTCCCCACCTTCCACTAGAAAAAAAGGTCAAATTCCCGCCTTCTTAAAATACTAAACAAGCAAATTCCCCAGGTATGCCCGGGAGGGGGGATGTCAAGGTTTCGATTTGATTCGCGCATAACGCAGCGAATGCGCCAAGCAGTATAAACGCGCGGCTGAAATACGATATTAAAATCTTGAATGTGCCGTATGATTTAATTATGTTTTAGGATTTACAAATGCTTTGTCATTTGGTGTTTATACTTGTACTGCATCACAAGGCAGTACGTAAGTGAAAAAATTTCACATGTGAGACTGTCTTGTATATATTTTGCTTTCTTTGATAAACATTATTAAAAATAAACACGCAAATTTTAATTAGCGAGACGCAATGTTAAATGTCACCTGCATGTCATTGTCATTGCCCTTTAACCCCTGGTCTAACTGGCCGCTTTTGAAAATGTTGATCATGACGAACCGCACTGCCTTAATTATGCAAAGTTTGTGTTTTAAAAACGAGTTAGGATAAAACGCGGATACGGACGGACGGATGAATGACGGACGGATGGCGATGGACGGACCGGACGGATAACATATATATGTCATTATATAGTCAGCGCGCAGCCGCGCAGGGTAGTTAGTGGCTTACGTCTTCGCTGGTTGTTATACTTTAAAATAATTTTGTATTTACCGAGAAATCAATATTCCGAGTATATAAATATATAAACTGGGATGTCACACTGATAGTTTGTTTACATTTCCTGGAGCATCAAATCTTATGTTTAACCACGGTGGTTTAACCCATTAGCTGGCAATGCGCCCTTCCCTTGTCCAGCGCCAGAAAATTTTACTCGTCAGTGGTACAGGGTACTGTACATAAATGGGTTAACAAACCTATCTGCCAATGTCTCGTGTTAATCCATCAGCACAGTAATGACTTTAGTATTTACCCTGTCCAACGCCAGACGATTTTTAATACGCAGTCAGTGGTAGGGCCGTGCTGTCAATAAATGGGTTAACAAGGATAACAATAGCCTGCGTAGCGGCTATATCTACTTTCTCTGAGAGCCGCTACGCAGGCTAGGATAACAATAATAGGATGTTTCTGAAGAATTCGTTCAACACCCTGTAGTTTGTCTTTTGCTGTCAAAGGCAGCATTACTGCCCTGTGGGTAACCTAGTTTAAAAATAGTGTATGTTAGGAAAATTTTTTGTTATAGGTGCGGAAAAAATTTTTTCGTCCCTTTTCCTGTGTATGTCCGGAAAACGTTTTTCACCTCTAAAATGGTACACTGACCGAAATTTTTTTGGCGACGGGGGCTGGGGGTGGGGTGGGGGAGGCCACGGAAAAAAATTTAGCCCCCCCCTCCAAATGAAATCTGTTCCGCCGCCCCTGATCCTGAGTCTGCAATCACGGCTTCAATTTTTGAATTGTAGAATAATTAGATGCACTATCTAGTGTATATAATATATCGTGGACTTGGGATGCTCGCTTGGCACCAGTTATTGCAAGGAATAATAATTTATAGAAACGCTGAAGTAACAGATTAGCAGTTAACAATTAATGCATGGTTTACTTCGTTATTTAAGCTTAGGTACCTTTCTTCCTCTAACAATTCAATACGTAACTCCCACTAAATACAGATATAGACGGAGAATAAAAGATAAAGTACAACTGATAAAAACAGCAGAAGGGTTCCAGTCTCATGTAACTCATCCATCGTGACTACGCCGGTTGAAAGGCATCAAGGAAATTTCAAAGTACTAACATTTAATATTTACATAAATATACAAGGATGAAAAGTACATTTGCATCGCTATTCAGAAATTTTGAGAATGTCAAAAAGTATACGTATATGCATGCCTAAAACCAAATAACACATCCCAAAGACTATGTAAAACTTCGATAGTAATTGATTCAATTTATAGTCCATTTGCTAAACAATAACCTAAGCAGTTTTGATACATCGGCAGGTTTAATTGTAATCTTGAATTATAAAATAAGCTATCTTTATCAACATGTAACTGAATATTTTAATTTTGGAATATACAATTACTTTATGGTTTCCGTGTTTGGATGGCCTGATCCAAACACGCGGGAATGTTGCGAGAGTTAAGAAAAGCGCGCGAAAACACGAGCCGAAGGCGAGTGATTTTACGCGCTTTTCTTAACTCGAGCAACATTCCCAAGTGTTTGGATCAGGCCATCCTAACACGGAAACCATAAAGTAATTGTTTTATAAAATAACAACAACACGATAGTCTTCCGTGTTTGGATGGCCTGATCCAAACACGGGTTTCGACCAATCAGAGCACGCATTATATACATGTTATTTTATAAATGCGGATAATATAGCTCTGCGAAATTTGCCGTTTTTCAGTCATTTTGTATTACGCACGGGAAATTGATACCGCTTTCTGAAAAAAGGTATCAATAGACTTGTCGAGATCAAAATTTTGTTCATGAGGTAATAGGTCCGGCGTTGCTGGAAATACAATACCTGAAACTACAAACACAACTCCACTGTTTCGTGAGAAAACACTTTCTCTTTTCTTTTGATTTGTTTGCATTCTTCACTGGTAGTAACGTTGTATCTCCTACATGCCTCTGCCCTCTCTCACGATTATATTTATTACGGTATACTTTACATTCATCTTAATTTATAATATAAATCATAAAACCGAAATTTCGCGGTAGTATATATTGTGATGTTTTCCACAAAAGTAAACCAAATATATCGATCGCCAGTTTAACTTTTTTGTCATACAATTTTTATGCCCGGCCTTCCTTCTTCTAAGGACACTAATACGTCTGGTACGTTCACGATTTCTTTGAAGCAATTATGCAATTTTGTGAATAACCAGTTTTGTATTTTTGTTAGACACACAGACAACCAACGTGCACAGGATGCTATCAATGTCACATTGTTCCACTGGGGAGTTCATGCTTGGGTAGTGTACAGTCTGGTTGGTATCCTCATGGGTCTGGTGAGTTACAGACAAGGATTACCCATGACAATACGTTCATGTTTTCATCCTCTCATGGGAGACAGGATCTATGGATGGATTGGTGACGTCATCGATATTCTCTCCGTAATTGTCACCATGTTTGGTGTATGCACAAGCCTTGGTCTCGGAGTGATCACATTAAATACTGGCATCAATAGAATGAACAGTGATATAGCAGAGAACAGCACAAATCAGATTATTATTATTTGGATAATCACTGTAATTGCGACCATTTCAGTCATATCAGGACTCAAAGTAGGCATCCGTCGTCTTAGCGAGATCTGCTTCTGCATGGGAATGGCACTGATGATGTTTGTTTTGTTCTATGATAATACTTGGTATCTACTCAATCTCTACGTGCAAAGTATTGGATACTACTTTCAATATATCATTCAACTTGGTTTTCACACTGATGCATTCGCTCAGCTTGGAAACGCTCCTGACAAAATGGAGAACCCAACTTGGATGGATGACTGGACGATCTTCTATTGGGGATGGTGGATTGCTTGGTCTGCATTTGTTGGCATGTTTATAGCCAAAGTTTCCAAAGGTCGAACTATTCGTAATGTGATCAACGCAACTATGACAGCACCGATCTTATACAGCTTCTTGTGGCTTTGTATCTTTGGCGGTGTTGGTATCAAAATGGAACGTGAAGCAGTGCTGAAAAACATCACATGCAACTCCACCCTTGGTGGTGGACTTTCCACAGAATCATACAACGGACTGTACCGTCTGTCTTGCCGAACGTCCAGCCAAATGTTTTTCGACGTACTCCAGCAATATGGTGAGAATCTAGAAGGCTTCTTATTCGGTTTATCTATGGCAACGATCGTCTTGTACTTCGTGACGAGCTCTGACAGTGGTTCCTTGGTTATTGATTGTCTATCGGCCAACGGCAGCCCAGAACCGCCCATTGTGCAACGTATATTTTGGGCGTTGACAGAAGGTGCGTATATTCGAATCATATAGGGAGGAAAATTTTTTCTACAATATTTATAATTTTCTTCTTCGGATCCAGACTCTGTTCAGAATTTCTTGAAAATATTTAATATGTGGTGTGGTGTACAATGTGTTTAATATATTCAATATTGTATTATAAACACAGCAATAATTAACGTAACATCAAACACTCATTAATAATTCATAAGCTTATTAGCAAATCATGTCAACCATAATATGTCACGTGTAGTGGCTTTAAACCTGATAAAACACTCCTAATTAGTATTCTTTATATAAAGAATACTAATAAGGCAATATCTATTGTAGTCGTGTCCTCATTGGTATTCTTTATATATAGAATACTAATTAGGCAGTATATCTATTGAATTTGTAGTCGTGTTTGAAGCCGTTTAATAAACTCGCAGGTCGTGTTTTATTAGGTCTAAAGCCACTCGCGCTGCGCGCTCGTGGCTTTAAACCTAATAAAACACTCCTGCTCGTTTATTAAACACTCCTGCTCGTTTATTAAACAGTACTCATAGTGTCCTGAATGATCAATATAAAATTACGATAAACAGAAAGTAATATACTTAATTTTTTAAGAGGCATATTTTTTCAATGTTACGTATTTGCAATGAAAAGTGTTCAAAACCTAAAATCTTTTTGGCGTTCCTCTCAAAATTACTTTGTTTTAGCTTTATTCTCTAGTTTATAGAGTTAGCAACCTTTTTAAATGCATCTGCCGGTTGAGAAAGGCGTAGGACAAAACATGGACTCAAGCCCGTAGCTGGCTTTCAATTTCTGGGGGGGGCACTCACTGCAGAAAGAATGTAACAGACGGTTTGAGATAAGAAAAACTTTTTTCCGGAACCCCCTTCCGGCGCCCCTGCGTGCAAGTCAAGAATAGAGAAAATGGAAAAATCAGTCCAGTCCAACTGTCCAGTCCAGTCCAGTCCAACTGTCCAATCCAGTCCAGTCCAACTGTCCAGTCCAGTCCAGTCCATGTTTTGTACTATGCCGTTGAGAAACCTAAAGTAATAGTTAAAAATTGTCAATTAAAATACAATTATCGATCATGATGCTTTAAAATTGACGCCATATTTACAGCCATATAAGCAAAACTTACTGAACTTCAGGCGTCATTTTCTCTTTGGCGTATCATCTAAAATCTCTTCATTTTAGCATTATTTTACAGATAAAGCGCTAAACATACTTCTTAAGTTTGTTTGCCGATTGAGAAACGTATCGAAAAATAAAAATTTTGAATTTAGTCATAACCTCAAGTGGAATATTATACGCATTAGTTTTGAGCGCGTGTTACGTAACATACAAAAAAATATCCTCTTAATAAAATGGGATTCTGTTGATTCTTAATTAAATTCTTAATCCTCCTTTTTTGAAATTAATATGAGATAGACGATAGCAGTAATTATCACTTATTTACTGAGATCGAGGGAAACGGTGTGTTTTGTGAACCCGAGACCGCCGTTGTTGCACGAGGCGAAGCCAAGGCAACAACGGCGGTCGAGGGGTCACAAAACACACTGCTTTCCCGAGGTCTCAGTAAGTATGAATAATTCACTGGTTATTGGAGTGAACTTAATTTGAAACCAAAACTGGATAAATGGAACGCCGTAAATGTTTAGTAGAAAGTTTAAAAAATGAACTTTGGAACTTCATGGTTGACACGCATGCGTATTGCAGCCATTATATTATTGACCGGTCAATAAATGTTTCATTTTGGACCGGTTGCCGAGCATGACGTTTTGTGGACCGGCACATGATACGGTTTTGACCAATCGGCAAACAGAAAAATTGAACTTTGACACCAACTATATAACAACAATATATATTGTTATATATAGTTAGTGTCAAAGATCAATTTTCCTGTTTGCAGATTGGTCAAAACTGTATCACGTGCCGGTCCACAAAATGTCATGTTCACTGCGTGCTTTGCCGAGGAGGCAACGGGTCCACAATGAAACATTTATTGACCGGTCAGTAATAAAATGGCTGCAATACGCATGCGTGTCAACCATAAAGTTCCAAAGTTCATTTTTTAAACTTTTTATTAAACATTTACGGCGTTCCATTTATTCAGTTTTGGTTTCAAATTTGAAGTTCATTCCAATAACTGGTGAATTATTCATACTTTGACATTTCGTCTCGGGAAACAACGGCGGTCTCGGGTCCACAAAACACACTGTTTCCCTCGGTCTCAGTAAATAAGTGATAATTATTTCATTTACTATTATTATATTATTACAAATTGAAATATGTACTTCATATACAGTATGTATACCTCTAGCTCATCGTCTTGCAGCCGGGTTGTTGCAGTTTTCTGAACAATAAAATTGAATTGTATCATTTAGGGGCCGATTACATGGAGAACTTTTAACCCCGGGGTTGAACTCAGCCCTGTTAATTAACCGGGTTGAAATCTTTTGCGATTACATGGACGATTTCAACCCCGGGGTTGAAACGCTATACTATACGTTCTCGGCATCGATTCCCGGAAGTAAAAAAGCCTTTATTTTGTTTTCTTGTAATAAATAATCACTACCATGTATGCCCGAATAACTCATGATAATTAATGAAACGATTACATGACAAAATATTCAACCCAGGGCTGAGTTCAACCCCGGGCTGAGTTCAACCCCGGGGTTGAAATTTCAACCCTGCTTCAGCGTTTGATTTTGATAGAGTTTTGTATTACAGACAGGGCTGAAATTTCAACCCGGTAAACAGGGCTGAGTCAAAGAGTGGCTGAGTTCAACCCCGGGGTTGAAAATGCTCCATGTAATCGGCCCCTTAATTGCATTATTTAGGTGCTTGCGCTACAGCGCTGTTGAAGGCTGGTGGTAAAGATGCTTTGGATGCCCTGCAAACAGTTTCAATAGCTGGAGGCTTGGTCTACACCGTCATCATATGTTTCATGTGTGTTTCAGTATGGAAAGTCATGAAGGAAGAAGCTGGAGAAAGCCAGCCCGAGGCTCCGCAATTTTCATGTTCTCTTCTCGCAGTTCTTGATTTCAATTCAAGGGCGAAATGGTTGAATGTCCTTACTGCAGCTTTATTTCCATGGTTTCGCGGAGGCCAAGCTGCAGGCAAGGTTTACAAGCAGGAATCTTGGCCCCATATGGTTATCCTCGCTTTACTGATGTATTGTTGGATTGCTCTCGAAATTGCTGAAATCGCGGAACAGGGTTTGGCGTATATTGGATGGGTCGTGTTGTTTGCATTCTTTGCTTATCTCGCGGCAATACGTATTGCCATTCGAGCTAGGAGTGGAATCAAGGGTAGTATGTTCGAAGATGCTCTGGCTGTTATCTTTTTGTATCCCCTTGCAGTTGACCAGATGCATGAACATATATTTTTCGGAGATGTACAAGACACGAGACAAGATAAAGATATTGGCCTCCAGAACCCAGGACAAGAAAAAAACATGGATACATACGATAAAAGTAATGGAGGAAAACAGTTTGAAGAAGCTCATTTTTAGTAAAATTTAAAAACTAAGTGACGTTTAGAAACACTTAATCGTAATTTTGGGTGTTGTATAATAACATACTAGTATATATAGTATAATAACATACCAGTAAGAACTTGTACATTACCATTTTCAATTTAATCATTTAAAGGAACATTTTTTTTAACATTTCTATTATTTAGCTTTAATAGCGTAGATCTATATTTTTCAAGTAATTTTCATAACCATGTATATGTACTTTTTTCTGTAAACTATTTAACCATTAGGTATTATAACATTACTTTAATTAGGAGTATTCTTAAATTTCTTTACATACACATTGTCATTGAATTGAAGTATTCTTAAATCTTCATAAATTGCCCTGTATAGTTTAATTTTTTGTAATATCAGTATTTGCAATATTTCTATCTTTGGACACTACGTTTACTATACAGTATATTATTGTAATATCCTAGTTTGCATTAATTATAATTTTAAAAATCCAGCGGCACCAATCTTCAGTTCAGAACTTCTGTGAAAATTTATTTTGTTATACTGCCTGGTTCGAATATTAATAAATGACCACCATTACTATTTGCTCTACTCCCCGCACACAGTGGCGTAACTACTATGGGCTCAGACCGGGTGAACCCGGGGGCCCCCAACCCAAATGGGGGCCCCCAGGCTTAGGCGATAGGGCAAAACATTGGCCAGGGCCTCTGCTATGTTACAATGTCGTTTTATGACCATCAGAATTCTGTAAAATCTCTCCCCAAAGTCCAGGAAATGGCATTTCGGAGAGTCTAGATTCAAAAATTTTCCGGATGACCATGCCCTGGACTCCCTAGAAAACTTGTGCATATATGGTGCTCGACTCGTGCCTTTGGCACTTCTACTAGAGGGGCCTTCGAAAATTTTGAACCGGGGGCCCCTTGATATAACGTTACGCCACTGCCCGCACAACTATAAATCCTATAACGACGACGTTTTGTACGAATTCTTTCAGGAACCGTAGGATCCCTTATGATGTTGTTCTTGATTGTTTTGTGTCATGAAATATGATTTTGGTATAAGTCGTAGTTGTCTTAAAAATTCTTCCTTTGTTAGATCTTCTGGTAGAGCAGCATTGCAGTCTACCACAAGAGGATGGTAGAAAAACTCCTTTAAAGGTACACCGCGACGAAGTCGTTTTCTCTTTTTCAATTCCGGTACAGTTGGTCTCTGTTTACCTGTTTTTGTTAGTCCTGATTGTTTCGTCTTTACAATACGTCTATTAACGTTTACTTGATGATTATTTGGTAAGCTAAAACCTTGAGACGGAATAACAAAATTGTCGACATTTTTCTGTTCATGATTGATAGGTTCCGGATATTCTCTATATTTCTCCTCGTTTTCTTGCAAGGTTTTAATATTTTTCAATTGTTCGTCGAGTTTGTGTTTTAGATTCGCAATTCTCAATGCTGTTTTATTCGCAAGGTTCACTGTAAGTTCTTCGGCAGACCAAAGTTCTTTGACATTTTCACCTCCCTTTTCAGCTGCCATTGGTCCGCTGTGCGTTTGCGTGTTGAAGTTACTCTCTTTGTAATTATAACCAAACAAAACGGGAGACAAGCTTGGAAATTGACCAAAACGCGCTCTTGAACCACTGAACTGCATTACCTCCTGAGAATTTGTGCTATTGTTTTCTCCTTCGGCGGGGAAATTTGTATTTTGACATGCCTGCTCAACGAATTCTGTGAACTTTGGCTTGAGTTCATTCATGTCAAAATTATTTAGTATTTTGTTTGATTTCGTCATCAGATTAAAAATTAACGGTCATTACATACATCATCATCAGTGACGCCATACTCACTGCGTCATATGACTCGTATGCTGAAACTGCCACGCGCTACTTTGTGTGCACGATTGACTGAATAAACTTCTTTAGATAAATAGAAAATAAAGAACTTCAAATAGACTGAAAACGCGACGTCACGAGGACATGTGTGGGATTTTATAGTACTTTACTACCGGTTTGTGTAGTCTAGGACGTCGTTCACGTTGTGTTTAGGACGCGCCTCGCTCATCTTAGCCACTGATCTATATAAAAACACTGTAGTGTTGCTATTTTTAGTACGTTATTTGCGCCTGGGTACGAGGCTGGACGTGGCATTCATGCAGGGTGTTCTCACGTCCTCTCTAGAACGTCACAAATTTATGCTAATTGTTTTGAGAAAAAAATATGAGAGTATATATGCACCACAAAAACCATCCTATTTTCCCCATATATTCTTCAATATTTGTAGCTGTGTTTGCGTTCTTATATTTCGCTGAGTTTTGGACGCGTTGGTTTTTGGCAAGTACTTTCATCACCATAACAAACAGGGCTGCAAGCATTGTTGACCACATCGATACTCAGTCTGCTTTCAAACAAGAAAAAACGGATCAATTTTAGTTCGCTTGTCACATGTATGCAAGAGTACGAAAATACACGACAAATAAAAAACACCTTTCGGAGTGAAAAACGTCGTAAACAACATTGAATTTCACCAAAGTAAACTCTATGATATGTCTATATTAGTATCGAACAGCTTAGAAAGTCGATTAAATCAAATGGAAGTATTTAACTCGTTAACAATACCTGCAGCTGTTTAGTCATTTTCGTCCGTATGACGAGATAAAATTCAATTGTTCAAAAACAACAAATTATGGTAGTTTTTTCAAAAAGAAGTTGTTGAATGTTCACAGAATATCTTCAGAAAATACTAGGTATAATATAATAGTCGGAGTACTTTCTTGCACATACAGTAGTACCTGGACAAATAATTGAAAACGAAAAAGAATATATATAGGCTAATCGTGATAATCGTTTATTAAAAAGTACATACACCTTGCAGTCGCTCGACTGAATTACGTGTAGCAATTACAAGAAAGATTAAAATTATAATTATATGTAGGGCCTACAATATGACATTAATATATAATATATAGACTATATAAATGTATGCGTTGAGTAAACAAATGTTCTATAGTTCTTGGCTTTAGCTGTATAGTGCATATAATAAAACTATCTGTTCTTTGACGCCTTTGACTTTAATTTGCCGGCTTATATCGTTGTTATACACGTTCTTCTCTCAACTCAAATTATATATACGACAATATATATTCCAAAGAAAAGCTTTTCGCTAGTGTTTCTCTTCTGTCAAATACAAAATTTTTATCTACAAAAGCCCTTCAATTGTGAGTTTGGGTAATGGTCGAGTGTCGAGGGTCATAGGTCGAGGGTCATAGGTCGAGGGTCATAGGTCGAAAGTCGAGGTCGAAAGTCGAGGTCGAAAGTCGAGGGTCGAGGGTCAAAAGTCGAGGTCGAGGGTCAAAGGTCGAGGGTCGAAATTCAAGAGTCTAAAATGGGAAATATTAATTTTTTATTACAGGTAATAAATTTCTAGAATACTACATTTTTGGCATTTGTTGTCAAAATTTTAAAGGTTCTCCTGATAACTAACTTCATTACTGTTAGTCCAGAACATGCCTTAGGGCATAATTAGGTTTCTTTTTGTTTTTTTGAGAAAGTGTATAAAATTACTAAAACTATTCGAGAACGTATGGTGAGTATTTTGAAAATATCCGAAATTGAGGAGATTTTGTTTCCGTTCGTCGCTAAATTTGCCCAAGCTATGATCAAACCATATTATTTAGAAAGAGAAATCTTTGCGAAAAGATGTGATCGAATTTGTTTACGTTTTGCCGTACGACAATTTTTAGCGGAGATATTTGACTTTGAAGGCGATGCGGTCGGGCCGCCAGTGATTTAGCCTGCTCACAGACGTTGTAGTTCTTACGCCAAGCGACGAAATGGCTTGGCGTAAGAACTACAACGTCTGTGAGCAGGCTACCAGTGATTAGCCTTTTACTGTTATATTATATATGAGCACACACAATGTAGGCCACAGAAAATGTTACATCAACGTACCGCTATAAATGAGCTCATGGAGTAATTAAAAGAATGCAAAGGTATTATACTATCATGTCAACTATATTTTATCGTTAAAATGTATTTATTGGACTAATTTGAGAATGTTTTAGAATAGTTTTGGTTGACTATAAATTTGTTTATAAAAACCGTGAAAAACCCGCAACACCTGATCATTCATTCTGAGATTGGGCCGCCTGTGTTTGAACGTACCAGCATATACTCATTATTCAGTAAACTGGGCGGACGCTCTACCAGTTGAACTATCGAGTTGACTCGATAGCTCAATTGGGAATAATATATGCAAATCAATGCTCAGCATTATATGCAGCTAACATGAAGTAGTATTTCAACTCTATTTCAGAGCCATCATCAGGGAAACATGATCACTGATCTGCTGCCTCGTCCCCAGTCGCTTGCTATTTTGCGGGCGTGCGTCTTTATCGGGCTTGCAGAGTTGCAGTGCACGCAATCCATTGAACTATAAATAAACTGGAAGGCTAACTCAGGGGGGGAAATTGAAGCCAGTGCATTTTAGTTTTTCTGAGTTATGAGCAGAAATACTCAACACTGAACGTTGGG